TATAAGTGTGCCACCTCTAAGTTATAAATTCATCTATTTTCACCCCTTTTAAATCTCGTTAAAACATTTAACATTATTACCTAAAACATTAAACTTAATAATCCCTTTAAAACTACATAGCATATATAAATCAGATTCTGCATGATTAAATTCCCCCCCCCAAAAGGACATATTAATCTACTCATTCAAATAGTAAAACAACCCTAAAGCCCTAAAGTTAATTCCATTTCAGCTCTCCTCCTATATCATTTTATTTATTTCCATATATTTAATACACATATTCCATTAATTATTCCATTCATATTTAAACCAAAAAAAGCCAACATTCCAATCTTAAAAATATTTCAATATATCTAATATACTTATTCCATTATTTGTCACAATTATCTCTCTACATAAAGAGGAAGAGCATTAGATTCCCTTATCCAAAAAATAACAATTCTGTTTTTCCATCTAGTCAGTCTATATGTCCCTATTTTGTAACTATAAATTTATTTATATTACCCCTCAATACCTTGCAGAATCCCCTTTCTGTATAATAATCACCCATTATCTCTGTGTCCAATTAAGGATTTCCCCATTTTTTTTACAATTCCCATATTTCTTTTTTTCCAAATCCTGTTTCTTGTCCCTTCTTTCCCCCTGTCTTTTCTCCTTTGTTCTTTCACTCCAGTTTTTATCCCTCTATTTATAGCTTCCTTTCGCCCTTTGAATTTCTGCTGACTCTTTTTCCCTTTTTTAATTTTTCAGATATTCCCCTTTTTATTTAATTTCTTAAATCTCCTGTATTTATTTCCAACTTTCTTTCTTTCAAGAGTTCTTGGTTCTCGATGATCACTAAAGATGGTCTCTTCTATGATTTGCTCCACCTCCTCTTCTGCCTTTTGTCTTTGTAGTTCATATTCTGCTGTCGCATTTTCAACAAATTTTAAAGCAAAACCCAACGATTCACCCCGTTCTTGTAGTATTTCTTTCATTTTTCTGAGTTCCATTTTTAATGCCAGAAGAGAAATCGCCATTTTACAACTTTCTGATTCACAATTTAATCCAAAAATATCTTTAAAGTTTATTTCCAACAGTCAACTTTTCTTCCTCTCAAGTTTTTAAGTCTCCGCTAATCCAGTGCCAAATTCATGTCAGAATCAGCAACTAATCCAAAGTCAGAATATTCCTAATTCTTTCTTTGTTACAATGTTTCAATTTTTCAAAGTTCTTGCTTTATTGTATCAATTTCCATGCAATTTCAAGAAACAAGAGTTTTTTAAAAGAAAAACAAGCTGAGTTTAACTGAGATGGCCCTCTTTATTATGCTAAGTCTTCACCCCCTCTTTTCTTTTTTCTTCTCTATTATTCAGAGCTTTTTAAACCACAATTTTCCAACAAGAAAAAGATCAAATCCAGTTGTGATTAAATTTCCTCTTTAACAGTCTATAAATAGTTCAGCTTTATTAGTGCCAATATAAAATTAAAGTATACTTATCCAAGTTGATTATATAGTTCCTTCTCCAGCTTCTACCTTTTACGGTTTCGAAACCCCGACGCTATCAAAAGCAATTCACACCATTTTTTTTCTCATGCTCTTCGCCGCTTAGATCCTTTCTTAAAGATTCTTTGAAATGTTAATCCTGGGGGTATCTTCCATTTGATTATATCGTCCCGTTCCTCCTGTTGTTCACTTCTTTCTCTCTCTCCTGTACAATCTTATTCCAGTCTAATCTTCCCCTTCATGGTGGCCATTTTAGACCACCGCTTCAGACGTCTTCGGGAGGGAGCAATTGCCAAGCTGAGGAGGGGATTTGCAACTCCCCTCTACCCAGCTGAAGGTCTCCCTTTCCTCTGCCACCCCTACGAGGTAGCTTCTGCCCCGAATCCAAAGGATTGGGGCTCTCCGATGCCGAAGCACGAACCAAAGCTGCGCACGATCACGGTCAGCGGTCCGTCTTTGGGGAAGTTCAAAACAGGAAGCCCCACTGGTCTTTTCTTTTTGTTCTTTATATACAGGTAAAACCTCTGAAAAGGTAAGTCTACAGCCTATTCTACTAAGTTCCTGCCCCAAGCTCTAGAAATCAGTCTGCACAGAGAGTACATCTTTTTGGGACAAATGATTTGTGTACAAGAGCATCAACATCATAGTTCTTACAGGCATTCTTGACCATCTTAAAAATACACCTGTGTCTGCTGTCAGTAGCACCTGGCAGATATCTGACTTCTTTCAAAATATGTTACTAACTTAATTGCAGGGATTCATTTAACAACTGTTAAGTGAAGAAAGGTTGTAAAATGGGGCAAAGTTTACTTAAAACTGTCTTGCTTAGCAACAGGAATTTTGGGTTCAATTGTTCTTGTTGGTTGAGGACTATCTGTATTCTTGTACATTATCCATAGAAGAAATTAACACTGCTATCAGTAGTCAGAAATGTGGTAAAACACTGGGTTTCAATGGCATTTGTCCAGAGTTCCTGAAAAAATTCCTAGAGGTACACATAGAATTGGTTTGGCAAATTCGTTTCAGATGTAGTTTCCAATGGGTGCCTCCTACCAGAATTTAAAAACAAACAAACCCTAAAGTAATATCACTTCTAAAACCTGGAAAACCAAAAGACAATACAAATATATTGCCCCCAATCACCCTTTTGAGTTCCTCCTACAAACTCTTGGAGAGATTAATCATAAACAGAATAGGTACCATAATAGTTGAACATCTGTCCATGGAGCAAACTACTTCCAGTGTTACTGAAACTATGTAGATCAGATGTTGCATTTAACAGGCCATATTGATGCTAGATTTAAACAATTCCTGAAAATCATTGCTATGTTCATAGACCTAAATGGAGCATACAACACAGTCTGGAATGGATGGATGGAATGGACTATATATAAACTGCCATATTGACCCCTGTAAAACCTTTTTCAACTAATTAATAACATGCTGAGCGATATATCTTTTCAGATAATAATAGGAATAACATAAGTAAGGTAAGAAGATTAAATAACGACCTCCCCCAAGGCTGTGTAGTGGTTCTCACATTATTCAACTTATGTGGGAACTTTACCTGCCACCAGGCTCATGAAAAAAAAAGCTGAGTAAGTAAAGACAGACTGATGACAAAAAATGTCACTCATAGAAGAAAGCAACAGCCAAGAGCATTGGCCTGATGACTAGTGTTGCCAATCCAGCCCAGCCCATTGGAGCTGAACAATCAGTTTCATATCCTTCCCCTTAAAGAAAGCATACAGATACTGGAGAAGGAACATGTTCAAGTGTTCCTGTGACAGGAAGGAAGGTAGCCCAGACCTTCCCAAGGAAAAAAAAGTGAATGTTGCTGATAGGAGACCCACTTCTCGGAAAAAAATCAGCAGCCTGTAGACCAGACAATCAATCTAGGAAGGCATTTTTTCTCCCTGGGCAAAAAAAAAGGTGAACTATCCCTTTCTTCTCATTCATGTGGGGACAAATGATACAACAATGAACCTGAAAACAATAGCAAAAGACAGTAGCTTGGAACAAAAGTCTCTCTCTCTCTCTCTCTCTCTC